AACAACAACAACAACAACATATATATATATATATAGCCTGATTTGCAGTAGAGTCATTATTTCCACCTAAGAAACTTAGAAGCAGTCTTAATATCTGAGACTCACTTTAAAGATTAACAATGATCCTAGACCTATTTTAGCAAACCTTCAATAAGATATTTCTGTAATAACCTTTCCCACAAACTAGTTCTGAGAGGATTCACTGACATTTAACTTCACTCAACATCTCTATGGCCACATCAACTATAAATTATCTCTGTGCTATTTCTTCCTTTTGTGTGTGTGGATGGAGAAGCTCTTCCCTTTAGACTATGACTTCATTATGCATATACTACTGGTTGATATAATTGTTGTTGTTGTTATGTGCCATCGAGTCAGATCTGACTCATAGCGACCGCTCCTTGGGTTTCCAAGGCAGTAACACTACGGAAGTAGATTGCCCAACCTTCCTTCTGAGGAATGGCTGGTGGGTTTGAACCGCTAGCCTTCTGGTTAGCAGTCAAGTGCCTCAGGCACTACGCTACCAGAGCTCCCTTGGTTGATATAATTAGTGGCCAAATTTTTCAGCCTTTTACTATCAGTTACAAGCTTCTTTATAGAGACTCAGACTCTGAAGTGTGTAGTGCCTGGAAAATAAAATTATACTAATTTCATTACTTTGTCCAATAGGTTATTTTTGAGCCATTCATATTGGCAAATGTATATTAAAACCTAGACAGATAAGTAGAGTCTACCTGTTCATAGAAATTCGGCCTCTGCCAAGGGCTTGGGAAGGTGGGCTTTCCTCTACTTGTATTGGCATTTTGATCTCAAAATCTTTTGGTACGTTCTGAATATTTGGGTCTGTGAAGGTAATTCGTCCTAAAAATCAACCAGAATGAAGAACACATTAAAATTAGAAAGTAAAACGTTGGACATTTATTTTAACAGTCATTGCATTTCTAAAGTCTCTTAAAAACACATACTCTATCCTTGTTTGTTGTTGTTAATTGCCATTGATTGATGCCAACTCATGGCAACCCCGTGTGTGCAGAGTAGAACTGCTCCACAGGGCTTTCAAGGCTGTGACCTTTCAGAAGCAGATCACAGGCCTATCTTCCAAGCCATTTCTGGGTGGGTTTGAATCACCAGCCTTTCAGGTAGTAGTCAAATGCTCAAGTGTTTGTGAAACCCAGGGATTCCTCTGTCATTACTAAATTAAAAATAAAAATTTATATTTAAGTGAAATATTATCATGTTCATGTGTCTAAAGATGATAAAATAAATATAAGACCAATCCCACTATAAATAAACATATGAATCAGCTACAATACCATGTTTTACACTAGCCTAGCTCTCAAGAAAACAATCCTATGATAAGAATTTGATAAACTGACTTATTCCTAAGCTATAGTTATGAGTACCAGATGTCAGTACTATAAAATATATTAGCAATTTATTAGTTACAACTACAACTATAAGGCTAATCAAATGGATCCTAAAAGAAATAGCTGTTGAAGACTCTAAAAGCTGAGAATGCACAAGATAAAGAAAAGGGGATTTGGAGAAGAACAGCTGGATAATGAAGAGGACAACTGGAACCGGAGAATTAGCTAATGCAGGAGACAGAGTTGCAATGAGATGTGGCAACTGGAACATCACTTTCAAGAAGCCACATGGCTTGTTTTCTTCATCATCATTATCACTAATCATTGATGACAACAGTAACCATGGTTGAAAACTAGAACAGGTAGGTTAATGAATTTTCTAGTAAATAATGATTTGTTGTAACATTGATAACCTGTTTCCCCCTAATATTTTTATACTTTATGTGTCTATTTATTGAATTTTTCTAAAACACATAAGTAGTGTTCAAAAAACAATTTCTTACTAATTTTGTTACTACAGTTTTAATAATACATACATAGTGTCTTAGTTCTCTAGTGCTGCCATAACAGAAATACCACATGTAGATGGCTTTAACAAACAGGAATTTATTCTCTTATGGTTTAAACTCAAAACTCACTGCTGGTGAGTCACTCCCAACTCATAGTGACCCCTCCTTGGGTTTCCGAGAGTCCTGGCTCTAAGGGGATGGGCAAAGGCCCCTCCAACTTGGGCTTTAGCTCTGCCTCTTATTCCAGGCCCCCTATAGCTGGGAGCTTCTTATAACTCAGGGAGCTGCAAGCTGCTGAGGCTGACAAACCCAAGATCAACAAGTAAATGGCACAATCCCAAGACTGACAGGCAACATGGAAGACCACTGGCTCAAGTCCAGGAACTGGAGATGAAGACTTGGCCAAAAGCAGGATCCAAATGTGCCAAAAAGCTAGACATTTTCTTAAAACTTCTCCTTATATGAGGAGATCCGGCAAGATGGCGGACTAGGCAGAAGGATTGCACAGATCCTCTTCAACAAAGAAAAGGGAAACCAATTAACACAGACAC